GGCGGTAGAGAACACGGACCAATATCTGCCATACTTAGCGAGAAACCCGCTATGGGCCCATGACCCGCAGTGGGCTCGCTACTCCATGTTACCCTATCAGTTTAATGCACCATCTGACGAAAATTCTAATCGTTTCAGGTGTTCAGTGTTACGCTTCTGCATAGGAATTCTTCAATATAAAGGCTATATCTTTCCAGATCCACTTTATGTAGAGGGTCAAGTATATATATAGTGTGTGTCAATGAAGACATATATTTTTGTTAGGAGTTCATGAGACAAGCAGCCGTTCATCTCTAAATTTTATTCAAGCGTCCCTTTTAAACTCAGAGGTTATTTTAATGTAGAATTCATATCGATCACATCTTGCGTTACTCGTGCATGCTCATTTACTTTACTACTACTACTACGTTTACCTTCATTTTTAGAACTTTTCGCGAACCAAATTTATTATTGGGTTTTTATTATACGAAGCGGTAGATTGTGTGGTAGATGATCGAGTAGACTTAACATTTCTTTTTATGAGAGCAGAATAAACAATTGAATGCATTCATTAATTATTGAGCTGCAAGAGTCGAATGCGGTGCAGCAGCAGTGGCAGGGGGCGGTGCACCAGCAGTGGCAGGGGGCGGTGCAGTAATTGACTGTGCTTGACAGCCCGTGCAGCGATCCCCTCTGAAACTTCACGTTACATCTCCTCTGAAACTTCACGTTACATCTCCTCTGAAACTTCACGTTACATCTCCTCTGAAACTTCACGTTACATCTCCTCTGAAACTTCACGTTACATCTCCTCTGAAACTTCACGTTACATCTCCTCTGAAACTTCACGTTACATCTCCTCTGAAACTTCACGTTACATCTCCTCTGAAACTTCACGTTACATCTCCTCTGAAACTTCACGTTACATCTCCTCTGAAACTTCACGTTACATCTCCTCTGAAACTTCACGTTACATCTCCTCTGAAACTTCACGTTACATCTCCTCTGAAACTTCACGTTACATCTCCTCTGAAACTTCACGTTACATCTCCTCTGAAACTTCACGTTACATCTCCTCTGAAACTTCACGTTACATCTCCTCTGAAACTTCACGTTACATCTCCTCTGAAACTTCACGTTACATCTCCTCTGAAACTTCACGTTACATCTCCTCTGAAACTTCACGTTACATCTCCTCTGAAACTTCACGTTACATCTCCTCTGAAACTTCACGTTACATCTCCTCTGAAACTTCACGTTACATCTCCTCTGAAACTTCACGTTACATCTCCTCTGAAACTTCACGTTACATCTCCTCTGAAACTTCACGTTACATCTCCTCTGAAACTTCACGTTACATCTCCTCTGAAACTTCACGTTACATCTCCTCTGAAACTTCACGTTACATCTCCTCTGAAACTTCACGTTACATCTCCTCTGAAACTTCACGTTACATCTCCTCTGAAACTTCACGTTACATCTCCTCTGAAACTTCACGTTACATCTCCTCTGAAACTTCACGTTACATCTCCTCTGAAACTTCACGTTACATCTCCTCTGAAACTTCACGTTACATCTCCTCTGAAACTTCACGTTACATCTCCTCTGAAACTTCACNAGGTGATGGTGACACGCAGTGAGGCGTGAGGCTAGGTGATGGTGACACGCAGTGAGGCGTGAGGCTAGGTGATGGTGACACGCTGTGAGGCGTGAGGCTAGGTGATGCTGACACGCAGTGAGGCGTGAGGCTAGGTGATGGTGACACGCAGTGAGGCGTAAGGCTAGGTGATGCGAGCACGCAGTGAGGCGTGAGGCTAGGTGATGCTGACACGCAGTGAGGTGTGAGGCTAGGTGCTGCTGACACGCAGTGAGGCGTGAGGCTAGGTGCTGCTGACACGCAGTGAGGCGTGAGGCTAAGTGCTGCTGACACGCAGTGAGGCGTGAGGCTAGGTGAATAGAATAATTTCATTGAAATCTTCATAAATCCAATTAATATCTTCAGACTACAAATTTTATAATACATTTTATACGGAAGATATACATGGAGTCGATTTGATGTCATGATGACGAAGTTTTAATACAGGAAATTTAGCCAATTTCTAATACCCAAAGCTTTACTATACACTATTAGCCTATTTACCATGAAATCGCAGCTATTAGCGATCCTAAATAAGAATGCTCAAAACAACTAAAAATATTAAGGGAAAACACCTTGCTGTCAACCGAGCTGATTATTATTGAGTTTATTCCGTAACGGACATCATGAAGAGCTGATCTCTAACCAACTCACAATCCTGCAATAACTCAATCTTGCTGTTCCGGCCCAAATCTTCGTAAAGCTATGAAAGAGAATTGCTTTATGTGCGTTAATAAAAGAACACCCAACTTAGACATGCAACATGGTACAATATCTGCATAACGCGCGAGTCTTGGAGCATTTATTTCCCGTGTTGTCATATAAAGAACACATGACGCTGCCATTTGACACTCATAAAGGGCATAGGAGTCCTTATTAACAATTTAACTTTCCTGCACGCCTGCCCAGGATTCTTATCTTTTGATGCATAAAAGAATTGCCGTCGCTTGGAATATTAGATGAACTTTTTTGATCATGCGCGACAAAGAAGAATCTAATGCGCGTCGTTGCATGTTATATGAAATAATAAGCGACAATCGAGATAAACCACGGTTGTCGATTAAAGGAAAACTCGATGTTTAGATTTTCACTTAAATTTAAAATTTTCAGGGTGCAATTTTTCAAGTTAATTGCATGGGGATGGCGAACAAAATCTTTAAAAATAAAAAACATTGTTCATTCCAAATAATAAAAATAGAAAAGTAAAGTATTTGGTCTGATTTCAGGGAAATTTTTTTTGCAATTTCTCTTGTTAGTCTGCTACTCCGCTGTATGTGGTCACGTCATACAAAAAGGGTTGCATCTTTTTAGACAACAGAAAACCACCGATGATTGTTCGCGCCAAGTGATCAATATGAAACCCCCATGATTGATTACAAAATGAAAAACCTTAAAGATTTGACTCTGAATATTTGACAGTGAATAATGAATATGCAAATGACAATTGAACAAACAGTTCTCATTCCGTGTGATTTGAATCTTTTATATATGTACCAAAGTTGAACTTATAAAGTTTCTTGGGATGATGACTGCACCTGGAAATTTATTCTCGGTGGCAAATTTGTGAGACATTGCGCAACAAAGAGGAAAATATTGAATAAAAATTCGAAGTTTGATTTTAAAATAAGAAAATCTGAATTTATTATGAAAATGCAGAAAATACGAGTTCAATTTTCTTTATGAAATGGGGGTTTGAATGGTTCTTTAATTTTATTCAACACGCATTAGCTTCATCATTATTTGCAGAATTTGTGACAGGAGGATCCAAAACTTTTAGAGATCATCGAGCTCGAGCAACACCGAACAAACCTACAAGTTTCAAATATACGCAAAAATTTTTAATTTCTCATCACTATATTTTCACTATCATTCTCGCAATTTAACGCGTATGAGTTGATTGATATTACAGGTTAAGTTATCAAAAAGTTTTCCTGTCTCTATCGTACTTTAACAGCTTTGTTGGACCTGATTAATTAAATATTGTGGACCTGATTAATTAAGCAATAGCACTAGATTTCTTAATTGATATTCAGCATTTGAAGCTTCACTGCCTTGCCCTTTCAAAACTTATGCTCGCTTCGTTTGAAGATCTCAAAGAATTACTGTCCTCGCTTATTGGAAGAAGCTTCTGATTATACATGAAAGAAGTTGGGTGACGTGTTGCTTGCATATGTTAGTCAGATGATCAAGTGATGATATTTGAATACATATTTGCCCTTCGCCACCTAACTTCAATAGTTTTCAGTAAGTCACAATATACAAAAGGACTTATTTAACGCGACTGTTTAATCTGAAGATCAGTCTGCGGCAAATGTTCAAAGTAATCAACGCAGCCAATATTTCTCTCGACTGTGTGTAGACCTTAATTACTTGGCCCTGCTGTAGAGGAAATTCATCAGGCATGGCAACAGCGGCCAATCTTCATTGGTCCGCTTCGCCACGTCAGCAGATACGTAGCCAATAAGTAAGCGTATAGGTAGCCTTAGTCATTAGCTCGTTGAGACTCATGGGAGGTGGAAAGCGCACTTCTTGTTTCCACTCTCTGATAGACCTCCTGACTGGCCACCAAGGGGCTACTCATCCACGGAGTGAGACGTACTGGCTCCTCCCTATCCAGATCTATATCCCTATCCATATCCTCGTCTTCCTGCCTTGGCGCTTTAAGCTTAGGACTCGGCCGCACCACTTGCATCCTGGTGGAATCTTGCATCCTGGTGGAATCTTGCATCCTGGTGGAATCTTGCATCCTGGTGGAACTTTGCCTCCTGGTAGAACCTTGCATCTTGGTGGAACCATGCATCCTGGTAGAACCTTGCATCCTGGTGGAACCTTGCATCTAGCGTGTTTCGATTTGCATCCCGTGGCGAGGTCTGGTTGCGGTAGATTCCTTGGCTGACCGTAATTGGAATTTTCCAACTTCTCTGGACTACGGTTGTAGTAGTGCCCCAGAATTCCTTTACACCTGCTTACATTTATTAAGATATGGAATAAATGGTCTATAGGATATCTTAGTTCAGTTAGTTGGTCAATATCCCTGGATGCAATTAATTGTCAGAAGATCTCAGAGCTCTTAACCTTGGCTGTCATAAATTGTACAAGAATAAATGTTGAAATTATCAATAAATTATTTATCATTGTAAATAAACTTTTATCATTAATTCACAAAATGGTACCGTCACTGGTCACGGCGGCTCCGTTGGCAGGCGGGTCTTCTGCCTGCATTAGAGCTGCGATGTTGCCTGTAAGTAACTACAGGACCTCTTACTTTATTCATTGTTCAATTTATGTTCCATGCTAGGAACATAAAAATATCAAATTTGTCATTACATCGCGAAATAAAATTTCATTACATCGTACAATTGAAGTACGTAATATTGAAGACTGAATATTTTCTTACAGCAATTTTCACCATACCTGACAACCAAGGCTGATTCACGCCACGGTGCCGTTGGAGTACAAGTGGATGCTGTGGAAATAATTGCAAAGAAACTGGGGTGGTGGTGAGAAATTATGTAAAAATTGCTATCTGCTGATTGCCGTCAGCAACTGAGCGATCAATTGACTAGTGCTGTCACTTCACAATACTCGAGTATTCTGAAGTGGCCGTTACAGGACCGACATGTCGGTTGAATCATAATTCAAACAGCACAATCCTAAAAATAAACCTGCATGCATTTCAAAATACTTCAATATTTGATACAATGAACCATTAAAGTTCACTAACGTATTAACTTTTGATACTTTCAGCATCATCTTTGAACAATCAAAGGCACCCTACATGGGAGGGGCCTGCTGCCCAACAATACCTGGGACGGCGCAATCGGTCAACTCATCCGCCACGTGAGAATTACATTGATATTCTCACTATTCATAATATTGCGATGCCAGTTCTCTATAGAATAGGCAATTTATAATGAAATGTATTCATTTAGGAGGAATTAATTGTACTTTTAATTTTATAGAGATAATACGAATCAGTACTAGTGATGACCCCAACTAAACAGATTAACCACCCTTAAGGATAGATAGATATTTTCCTCAATTCTTGCGAGTTATTGCATTTATTCATTATTAATTTGCAGAAACATACTTCTGAAGACTAATTATTTGTTCAATTAGAAAATTATTGTTTGATTAGGGAGCAGGCTTAATCGATTTGTCGTTAGGCGGCACCGCTTTGTTGTGCGATCTATGACATGAGCTGCAACCCGTTGCTGGTATTCTGTAGTTTTTAAAAATGATCATCCGACCTTTGCTGATGTTTTGAAATGGTCTTTGCAGTTGTTTTGTTCGATCATTCAACTGATCATCAGCCCTTTTCAGTTGTTTCTTATTATCTTTTACAATATATGATCATCAGGCCGTCGTCGCCGTTTTATACTCCCTCTACGATGATAATCAGACCGTTACTGTTGTTGTGTGCTATCTTCAACTTGGTCACCAGCACGTTACGAGTATTTTGTACGGTCTTTTGCATCATCATAATCCCAGTGCTGTTATTTTAGACAAGTATTGACATGATCTTCAGCCGTTGTAGTACAATTTTCAGCATTATCATCAGCCCGTTGCTGTTGTTGTTGTTGACCCTCCCCGCCTCGCTTCACAGCGCGAGGCGGGGCCTAGACCCAGTTCTGGGGTCAGCCAAGTCGGTCGCCCCAGCGGGCCAGCAGCCCTGCAGCGTTTACGGGGTCCGTCCAAAGGTCACCCAGCGACAGGGATGTGGGCATTTCAGAACAGGAGAAAAGATGAATGGTGTCGTGCGTGTTGGACAGAGTGGGCAAAGTGGAGAAGGGTGTGTGGCAGGGTCTATTTTGTTTAGATATGAGAGAGGTAGCGGTGATTTATTGATGCGAAGTTGTGCAAGGTTCCTGCGTATAGGTCTAGGTAGGTTGATTTCGGATGGGCGGATCTGTGCTCCAAGTGCTGTCGTTCTGCTTGCGTTGGAGTGCGGCCCGGATGCGGGCCCAAATCGACAGCAAATCTTTCTCCGTCCTCCGAAAGGGGGACCCGAAGCCCATGTTTTTGGTGCTGCCGGCCTGCGGCTCCCCACGTACGGTCGGCGTCTCTGTTGATACTAGCGGGGGATGTCGAGGAGAACCCGGGTCCGACTTGGATGCGTTGCTGTTCCGTACGGTCTTCTACAAGATCATATCATAGTGATGTTGGAGTTGAAGAATAGGCTTGGTGTGCTATCAGCTCTTTGGAAAAGGCCGTTGTTTAGAACGTGCTATGACATGATCGTCAGCCCGTTGAATTTCTTTTTTAATGTATTTATTATAGTTTTATTTCTTGTACTAATGGTCACGCACGCACACGGGGCTGCTGGATGGTGGATGAGGAAGAATCATAAGCACAGAATGGAGATGATGAAGCCAGAGAGGCTGGATAAAACGCACTTGGGCGTCGGGGCTCGTCTTGACGGACTGCACGAGGCCCACCGGGCAATGTAGACTAGACTCCTGCGTCCCGAAATAATTTTCTCAAATGGACCGGGACAGAGGAAACGGGACGAGAAAATTCCGGTAAAAAAACAACGGGACAGAGGGTAAAATTTGTCCCGGAATAAACTCATGAACCGAGACATGACTTCAGTCCCGGACTTAAAAACGTATGTCCCGGTAAATTATGAACCGGGTCGAGTCAGACAGATTTAAAACGTGACATAACGAGACGTGACGAGATTTGTCTAAATTATTTAAGACAAAACAAGTTTTTCGATTATGATGCGAATCATTTCGAAAACACGGGTTGAAGAATGCCAGGTTAGCCCTTTATTGCTAATAGGGCCACAGACAGTTACCAGTTAAATTGAGTTAATTGCAGATTTGGCAAAATTTGTCTGACTAATTGACATGACAGTTAATTAGTGGTCCGACAAACACCGCTGTTACTCTTAATTCTTAACTAAGGCTTCGATGGCACTTTATGGGAACCGTACGAGTGCGAGTCGAGTTCATTACGCGTTCGGAACGAGTTCAGGCGCCATAGACCGCATAGGGACGCAGACTCTAGATTAGTTGACTTCAGCCAGAAAATGTTGAAAAGCTTCTCTTCATTCAACAGAACTATGACTGTGTCCAAATCAATTTCTGGAAATTGATTTCGGCTGATGACAAAGATCCTGGTAAGATAAGCTAGTTTTAGATTATCTCTGCCTTTAGGAAAATTTTGTGTTAAGCCTCCAGGAAATCTTCCCAATTGTGCAGTTTCCTGCATTGTTATTAAATGCTTGTTTAACGTTATTTAGGAAGGATTAACATGAAAATTTAAATTTCTTTTTTAAAGATCAAACTATTATATTTTTTCTAACTTACATTTTGTTGTATTTTATAATGTTTTTGATACTTCTTTCCAGACTTTTTGTTGAAGGAGATTGATCAAGGCAAGATCGATGAATCTGATTCTGTGATTGAGCTGGAGGCAAATCACAGTCTGTCCAGTTATCCGATGTCACCAGCTACAGTGGGAGCGCAGCCCTACACCACAAATTTAGCTCATAAACAAGCTCTAGCGCCAACGCCTACCCTATACTGCAATAACTAAACGCAGCTCATACCCAAGAAGCTGTAGGTAACTGAGTCATCTCCCCACAACAACTTTAAGCAACACCTACCTCACTCCACAGCCTGTTGAATCAAATAGTCAATTGTCAACAGGTCCTACTCCACATAGTTTCACCCCATACTATCACTTCTTACACACGCCGTAAGCCTCACTGGCCGCAGACCACGCCGGATCATCGTAAACCTGCTCTGCTATTTGCAGGACTGGCGTAATCCCGCCGCACTCCACGGGCAGAAGCGCAAACAGCCGTCCCTATAACGCCATGCCTCGGCTCTCCCCCTTTCGCAGCCATAAGGCTTTCTTCACTTTCTGATCAGTTGTGCGCCAGGCGCGATGGAGGGAGGGTACGCATGAATTGCTCTCCGAGGAGCTAGTCAGCGCTCGTTATTCATGCATCTGACGCTGTTGGAAATTGTTGCTGCACGATACCTAATTCCCGATGATGCATGAAGGGAGGGCGAACACTTGCTATCCTCTGGGAGTTCGTTCTCATGGCAGATTAAAAGAATGAGAATGCTTAGAATAAAGTGCAAAATTACCGCTGTAAGGAACATTAAAAATCTATATTAACGATTTTAATAGGATATGAACTGCAAGCGGATTGGCTTTCTTTATTGATTGTACTTGTATTCCTTGCAACTTTATAATCCGATTATGGTACAAAACGTTCGCAATGAAGGTGTGGTAAATTTTCTCTTTCCAATATTATTGGCCATAATTTTATGCAAAGATGAATGTTTAGGATGTAAATACGAGAGGTTGCTCACGAGGCGTATGGAAATTTATTTAAAATTTGGCTGACATTAAGATTGACATGTTTGTTTCCTGCAGTCACCGACAATTTGCTTCACAAAGAATACAAGATTCTCAATGACTGTCTAATGTCTATACGACAGCAATTCCCTCATTAAACATGACTGAATCGAAGAGATGTGGTTCGTCAACCGTCGCTTAATTCCCCGCGCTGCTTAAATAATCTACTTTTGCAAGGGAGCGAAATAAAATGTGATGCATCGTAATAACTGAAACTAATTATAATGAACGATATGGGAACAATCTACAGCATTCTTCCCTGAATGAGCATGCATTGGGTTAACTCATCCGCTTATGATAAAGATGAAGAATATTTATTTGCATAATCAAGTA